TAGTTCCATTATACTCATTATACGAGATACAAATGGGTATATCAATTATCTCAAGAAAAGAGATTCTTTTGAAACGAATACATCCTATACTCGCACTACCCAAGAACATCGTTTATTAAAAGGGACAGAAGTGTTAGCTATAAAACTACCACCACATTTGAGTAAGAAGTATGACCAGTCATCTGCCGACATTGAAAGAGATGCAGAAATTAAAATAGAGACGAGGTCGGAGGAAGTATGGGATGCGGCTATGTTTAATATTCGTAAAGCATTCAGCAAACACGCAACAGTAACAGTAACACAATTCAACATCAGTACAAATGAATGAAAATCTACCTCCTCATGAGCGAGCGTTGCCTGGTAACTGGCTATCCCGTGAATGGAGGCTTCGAAGTTTTTTTAGATATTATTAACATGATAGAATTTATTATTTAGTAATGATTTTACCGTCTTACTATTATGTATTTCTTAATTATCCTTCTCTGAGAAAAATGATACCCTGCTCTTAATTACTATTATTACTATTATTACTGTTAACTATTACTATTATTTTCTATGTTCAACTTCAACAGTCATTATTATTTTCAAAATTGATCACTAGGCAAAAATGAAAAATAAACTTTGTATTAAAACGAAAAGGCACCTTTTATAATGATATTTTTACGTGACCCGTCTAAATGATGTTAAACGGTGGTCACGTGACTGCACGCCTTGAACGATCATCTATGGTTGATAGAAATTTCAAACTCATTTCTACTTAAGTATTTATATGTTAACCCCTCGTGTGTGCACTTGGACCTGTATAGTTTATATTCCGGATAGATACGATAATAAACTCCCTTGCTCGGATATGTCACTCAGTCACTGTATTGCTACACTGAGCACTGGACTGACAGCGGACCATGCTATAGACTCTCTTGCTCGAATGAGAGCTCCCTACTTTTCCTTAATATGCACCCATTAAACCGTTATCTAACCGTCCTTGGCTGAAGCTTTATTTTTAGATCCAATAGTAGTTTATATAACTTCGCTCTCTGTAATTACGTTTAATGTCTGTCTTACTAGTAAAGTATAGCCGCCCTTCACGACAGCCGCTTTTACATCAAGTGGCTGCTTTCTAGCGGCTTACTCTACTCAGTTTTTAACAATAAGTGGCTGCTTTCTAGCGGCTTACTCTACTCAGTTTTTAACAATAAGTGGCTGCTTTCTAGCGGCTTACTCTACTCAGTTTTTAACAATAAGTGGCTGCTATAAAGCGGCTTACTCAGGTTTTATCAATAATGTCACATGGTATGAGTACAGCTGGTGGTGTGCCGTATCCCGGATGTAGCCGTTATGTAACTAGCGTTGTCTGCACACTGTGTGTTACACTAGGCTGTCTACAGTAGTATTGTACTATCTTTATTGGTCTTATTATCACACTGTATAGTGCTGTGTCTGCAGCTTAGTGCGATGATTGGTTTACTTTTGTTGATTAGAATTAATATTTACTTGGGAGATATATTATATTGGAACAGAATTCCGCGTTTAGATATTTAGATGTGTGTCACGGAGCTGTATGGAGATGTGTGATTAACATAATAAAGCTCGATATATTTAAATGTATCGTAGATAGATTAGCAACTTAACGTTTATGAAATATGTATTAAGTTATATGGATATTAAATATGAATTAGCCATACACACAGGCGGCCCTCTGCTGACTTTAATAAGATATTTAAACCAAGTGTAAGAATTTAATATACTGCAAGACTTCTGATTTATTGATGCAATTTTGACCAGAGTCTTTATATTAGTTTAAATTTCAGCCATTTATTTTGATATCGCAGGTAATTACAAACTCCCGATCTATCGTCATCTGCCTACTATACCTCATTTATCAGCTGAAACTTTTGCAGTCCTCTGTAATACAATATTTCAGTAGCTTATTGTTTAGACTTATTTAAAGTAAGACATCCTGTAACTCATTTTCACGGAGTCCCCTCTACAGTATCTTACGAGCCAGTAAAACTGTAAGTCAGAGTGTCACAGCCTATTTATCGTGGCGCCACGGGTCTATCATGATTACAGTGGGCACCGTGTCCTTCTACAGAGGAGCACTATCTTAATATGGCATAATATGGCATATCTCCCACGAACAACATACCTTTAACTAACTTTCTGCAAAGCGTCATCTTGTGGGTTGAAGGACAATGTGAACGTTTGAACTTTTTAGTATCGAGTCGAACTGATTGTGCTTTGAACGTGTGTGTCGTGTGTAGAAAAATCGCTGTTAAGGTTGGTTCATGTGGATTGTGGTTATGGAGGCGGTAATAAAACTCATGGTAGATGTATTCCTGGTGTGGCTTTGAATAAATTTACTTTGCTTCTTTGTCATGGTTATTTCTTGCAGGTGAGTGCAGTTGATCGTGAGTACTTGATATTTTCGTTGGTTTATTTTATGCAGTTATAGACCATTTACTCTTGGAGGGGGATTATTTAAAACATATAAGTGATACGAAAAGTTTGTTTTAGCAGGAACTTTCAAAATACATGTGTAAATCGTCTTCAGCTCGACCACTTACTGTCACATTCTTCGCACTACTTACAGAGTATAGATCAGGCACGTAGCCAGGGGGGGGGGGGGGGCTAGGGGGGGCGGCAGCCCCCCCCCCCCCCCCCCCCCCCCGGAAAAAATCGAACCCCAGAAAAAAGATAAGCCCCCTAGTCCCCATGGTCGCCTGGTAACTGGGCTGTGTTTATGACTGCAGTCAGTCAAAGATTTGAACTGTGGATTAGTAAATATATGTCATTAAATCCAAGCAAACATTCTAGAAGACTTCTATAATTATAGTCAATAGTGTCCCCTAGACCGTAGGAAATGTAAAAATCTTAAGACGATGAGGCCTGAGTAAGTCGTAAATTCTGATTGGAGAATGCAGATTGCTGTTGTGAAGTTACCAAATTTACGTAAGTACTTGATTCTTTTCAATCCCAGTTTATTGCTGTCCTACAAATTTCTTTAATGCCAAATGTCGTCTAAAACACCCTGTTTCGCAAAAAATTTCCGGGGGGCTGCGCCCCCCTAGCCCCCGCCAAGGGGCTCCGCCCCTGGACCCCGCTGGGGGCTGCACCCCCAGACCCCTGCCACAGCTTGCTCGCTTCGCTCGCTGCGCAGCATGATTGGACGCGTCGGCTCGCTTCGCTCGCCGACAGCCCCCCTCAAAGAAAAATCCTGGCTACGTCCCTGGTATAGATTAATACTAATTATCTTATCACGTTATCAGTTTGCTGAACCTTAGATACAGATAAAGAGCTCGTTAGTCTTTTATAAAAACTGCAGTAGTACAATATCATATTATTTCTGATCTATTTTAGGGTGATTTATTTTGTACACTGATTAGTGATTGTCTCGAAGAAGTTTTAGTGCTTATCTTTTAGTTTGTTTATTTTATATCACGGTTTATTCAACCCATTATTACCGACTATTCATAGTAAACAACAACTCGGCATTATGTCTATTTTTAGAAAATATACGGTCAGTACAACATAATGCCGAATTTAGCTATCATTATATTATGTACCTTCGTTATCACCTGTATGTATATCCCTGTTGTTAATTGTTAATTGTTAATTGTTAATTGTTAATTGTTAATTGTGTGCCAATTATCCTATTGAACTGATTGTGTTGAAGAATGATGACAGATCATGGATGAATACTTTCTGAAAAACGTTGGAATCGTAAGTTTTCATTTAAACCATTTCTTGCGTTTCATTATTCATTTTTTTGACGGTTTTAGCTTTTGTCTTTGTATTATCATAAGGATGTTATTCTATTCACAATATAAAATGTCGATTAGTTCTAAATTTACTAATAACTATGTTGTAAGATTCTTCATGTACTCAAGTAGGAGAGCCTAGTTGAGTATCCCAGATCACTGATCATCCTATTTTTGGAATCCCGGTACCAGTAAAATCCGGCAATTTGACTGGGACCAATCTGGAATTATTTTTAACAATTTTGTATAAGTCTTACCAGCCACTCAGCAATATTTTAGATTGTACATACTTCCTTATCTGTGTTGTACTAAAACTCTTTGAAATGATTTGAGTTTAATTTATTTCTTATCTTAACCTGATTAAATCTTTCATTTTGTCACCTGTTAACTAAAGTATCGTCCCGAAAAGAGAAGCAGATGTGGCAAACCAAAAATAGTAATCAAGTCCTTATCAAACAATTCGTAGGCTATGTAAGCAGTAAGCACGACCATGTTGAGTTTGATAGAACGGCCAAACCGGAGATATTGCTCTATTTGCATCCAGGTATCTCTATGCCCCTCGGACAAGCGCTTTCTGTTGTGCGCACTTTCCTAGCGCTTTCTAATGTGTGCAGTTTCCTAGCGCTTTCTAATGTGTGCAGTTTCCTAGCGCTAACTGATCAATGCAGTTGACTCCATGTGCTAAGCGAGGTATTATCTACAATAGTTACTAAGTTACTCTAGTTACTGTACAGTGTACACCAAACCATTCCTGAGGGAAACAGTTTTTATCGAGACAAAGTGCATTTGACTGTTTTTCAACGGTTAATTCAGCGCATTTCAAAAAGGATCTATCGCTGATCAGCTGCAAGTTTATTCATTGCTTCACTGTGCTGAGCTGCATTATTGGACTAGGAATAACGTAATATTTTCCTCGACCTAAACTCCAATTTCCGACTTTACGTGCAACTTGCACGGTGCAAGTTATTCAGTTTACGTGCAAGTTATGAGACGAGGGCAGCAAAATATTCTAAAAATTTCATTCACATCGCTTTTTGAAGATTTCCTACCCTACACAATACACATCTTCACAACATAATACTAAGGACATCTTATTGAACAGAAAGCTGACCTAGTCGCTGATAAGTTTAAATATATCTGATAGTTGTGCTCTTACGACCATGATATGCACCTAAATGATAATTTAATAAACATATCCATCACAGTTAGCATTACATAGTGATATAACATGTGATCACCCAGCAATCTCAGTGCAAGAGGAACAGATCACGAGCAGAGTCCGAGGATAAGCCAGGACGACCAGGGTCGGAGGAGGATGGCAAGTTCACTTTGCTGGTAGAGAAGTCAGAGAAGAGCAATGAGTTTGGGGTGACCATCAAGGAAACTGACACCAACTACCCCATCATTACTGCCGTACAAAAAGGTAAGCTTGAGCGGGTAATTTCAATTCTGTATCCGAAATAGCTCGATTGTATGTTTAACTCCATAAGATTGCTGCCTCGGTCAAACACAAAGTTTTTATATTTGTGTAACATACAATGTAATGATCTGAAAAGTCTCTTAGTCTCTAAATATCTAGTGCATAATTTTAACGTGGCGTTACTGCATACATAGACCCTAGTCAGCTGGTTCTAAATTAATTAATTAATTAATTAATTATCCCGCCTGTTTCAGACTCGTACGCACACAAATCAGGGTTATCAATCGGAGACTATGTGATCACGATAAACGGCATCAATACTGGTAATATGAGTCTGCTGGAAATCAACGACAAAATCAAATCTGTGAGTTTATGATACATATTGGAAATGTTCATTGTTTTTCAGATCACTGAACTATTTCCAAACGAAGTCAAGGTATAGCCTTTGGACTGGAAACTTCCACCGTTCTCGAATTGCTACATACTGTACTTCGAAATATTGGTCACTCAATCTGAGCTCTCTGACCAAACCATCGCAGGTTTTCACAGAAGGACACGTTTACTTAGGAATTTGTAGGCTTCCTCCGAACGAAACTCTCACGCAAAAACATAAAGGTAACTTCAACAAAGTTTTTAAGCTGTTTTTGTACATTCCTTACTGTTATTTTATAGAAACCAGAATTACGAGCGATATCAGAATAATCCGCAAGACATGGAAATGATCGAAAAATCTCTTCAAAAAAACAAGCTAAAAAATTAAAAACTCATGTTGAGTTTAATGCCAAATTTAAATCTCTCAAGGTTTGTTTGAATTAAACTGAAATAAATTAATTTAAATTGTCTTTAATGGTACAGCTTAGCTTCCCAAGCAAAAATTGGCCCCACAAGTAGGAAGTAAAATAAGGACCTCTGTTCAAATCAAAATAGATTCAAAATAGTCGGACAACTCAAAATAATAACAAAATCTGATTGGCAGTCACGCTGCACGTGACTGCCCGCACGTGACTGTGCGCGTCCAATGGACGTAATGAAGGAAATTTGTTATGGTTATCGCAGGAGAGATCACGTTTAGAGTGCGTCTCTCTGATTAGCCCACGTCACTGCACACGTGACTGTGCAGAGCCAATAGGGTGCTATGTAACTTGTGTAAGGTGTGTACGCTAGGTGCGTGTAAGGGTCATCTAATTTACTATTAAACACAGCTGGCCGGCAGAGAATTGAAAATATAAGGATTTTTTATGGATGAAAATCGAAGCGAAAACCTTGTAACCCTATGTTTTCGAGTACGCTGAACAAGATCAAACTGGTTATAATTATCATACTCAAGGGCAAATTGCTTTAAAATGTACTTGAATGTCATAGATGCTATTATACGCTTTAACCGGCTTATCGAGTGGCACCAGTCTCTCTCGCCAATATAGTTCTCAGCTTAACTATTATCGGGCTCGTGAAGGAAAGATCTCGAGTTCAGAGGACGAAAACCCTTTTCCCAATTATTTGCTAACATTAACGAATACGTATATTAACCAATATCAAAAAGGACTACCAAAGATTGTATCGGGACTTCTATAGTATAAGCAGTATAAGCGGTATTTCTAGTCCGCAGTTTTATTCATAGAGGTTTTATGATGAACTAATTATTATCATATGACTGTGTTAGGGCTACTTACAAATTGGTTGACGCTCCTATTAGCGCACATCACTGCAAACGTGACTGTGCAGAGCCAATGCAGTGCCGTGTGTGTAAGGAGCGTCTATCCTGCATCATACCAACTCCCTAGGGACCACGCTTTCATTACAGAATGGAAACTATGAGAGTAATAGGTGGGTTTGCCGTTTATACAAGAGAAATTCCTGTTCGTTTGTAACAATCTAATAATATAGCAGTTTGACAAAAACCTTTAAGTTAAGTTTTTTATAATTTAGGCGTTCATCTATGATGTATATGTTTCCTTGGATATAAGTGGATACATTTTTGATAATTGAATACCGGTCTTCGTTTGCATCTAATGCTGGAAGTCAGTAGCAAAACATAAAATCATTAAAATCTAAGGAATCTGAATTAAAATTTCTCCCAGCCGATAAGGGCAACGCCACTGTGGTGTTTACCCACGAACTATACATAAATAAAGTTAATGAACACTTGACCTCAGGTAGCTACACCCTTTTGAACAAAGACCCCACACAATCCGTCACCTCCAAACTGCACAAAGTCCTCAAGAAACTTCACAATGACAAAAAAGATCACCACAGACCAACTCAACAAGATGCAGAACCTTCACCCTAGATGGCCTCAACTCTACGGACAACCTAAGATCCATAAACCTGGCGCACCCATCCGTCCCGTAGTTAGTTTTTACAACACTCCCCTTCAAGCGCTCCACAAAGTCCTTGCCACAGTCCTCAAACCCCTAGCTCAGAATTCCCTACGCCTTAAAGACTCCTCAGACTTCAAGCACCTATTCGCCTCTACACCTCCTGTGACATGCGCCTGGCCCTTAAAACAGTCATCACATCCTACGAACAAAAACCCACTCTCCTCCCCTCCAACCTCACCACCACCACCATAGGATCCCTCATCAACTTTTGCCTCGACAACTCCTACCTAGAATTCAACGGCTCCTTTTACTCCTAAGACGAAGGTGGCACCATGGGCTCCCCCCTCATCGTAGAACTAGCTGAAATACGTCTCGCAGAAATAGAATCCTTAGCCCTCTCCTCATGTCCCGACGCTCCTCATACCTACGCCCACTTCGTTGACGATGGCCCCGGATCCTTCAGAGACAAACAGCACGCAGAATCCTTCCTCACTTTCCTCAACTCGCTCACCGAAGACCTCAAATTCACTCAAGAACACCCTTCATCTGACGGAACCATACCTTTCCTCGACGTCCTCATCCACCCTGACAAGTCCACCTCAGTCTACAGAAAACCCACCCACACCAACCTCTACACCAAGTATTCATCCTGCACCACAAACTCCTCCAAGAACGCCGTCATCCGATCCCTCACCAGAAGAGCTTACAACATCTGTTCACCTCGACACCTCGAAGACGAACTAAAGACTGTCAGACACGTTTGCCTTCAGAACGGCTTCCCACCCCTCCGCATCACCACCATCAAGGACGAAGTTCATTGCAAGTTCACCAACCCTCCCCCGCATCAATCCTTAGCCTCATTCTACTGACAGACCAGAGATCACGCAATCAGCGTTTCCCTTCCTTTCCATCCCTCACTCTCCAAACCCATCTCCAAGATACTCGGACAACACGACATCAAAGTGACCCACTCATCAGCCACTACTCTCCGCAACCTTCTCACCAAGACGAAGACCACACCCCCCACTCAACTCACCCCCAACACCATCTACGAGATATCCTGCTCACAATGTCCCTCCAAGTACACTGGACAGACCTACAGACCCCTCATCCAACGAATAAAAGAACACGAAAGATACTACAGACTCAACAATGCCTTCGACGAAACCACAGACAGGATCAAATCCGCCCCCGCCCATCATGCCCTAACCACTAGACATTCCATCTCCTGGAACAACATAGAAGTCCTTAAATCACTCACCACACGATCTCAACTTGACCTGACAGAACATGCTGCTATCCAGATAAGACAACCCTCCATGAACCGTACTGATCGTGCCCCTAAATGTAGCTCACTATGGGACCCCATCCTTCCCAAGATCGCTTCATCCCTCAAGACCAGGTCATCTGACATTTCCTTTTCATCTATCTCACAAGCCTAGTTTTTTAATGTTATTGTAATGTAATCTGAACACTTTTTCCACCCTCACCACTCCACCCTTTCACATCACACACCACTCATCATTGACACTGCACTACATCATATATAATCACCAGAGCTCAACCGGGATTTGGCGATTTTGTCCTGGTCCCGGTCCCGGCCAGGATTTTGTTTTTAGCCGGGATTTTTCCAAAATAAAGTCGGTTTTTGAGCGTATATTTGAGCCCGAATTTCACGAACCTGTGAACATTTTCCGAAAAGTTTTACTACAACAGTGCTCTACAGTGCTTCTTAATAGTTAGATCATTTCACTTTCTCGTCGCCAAAAGTTTATTGAAAATTCAACTTTCAAGTCTTATGTGAAATGTTTATGTTACATGATCAAAATTCTATGAATTTTGATCAATGGTAGTTGGCAAATTTCAAAGTCAAACAAAATTTACTAATGTTCAAAATTAATTATATGTTCAACTGTTCACTTCATGAGTAACAAATTACAAAATGTTAGAAGAAAGCTGAAGTCCGAACAAACTTAGAAATACTCAAGAGTCAGGGGCCTCGCCCTCATCAGCTTCTTCATCTGATGAAATACCTATGTCCACATTGATTTCGCGCTCTCTATCTCAGAGATAAAGAAAGAGATAGAGAGAGAGAGAGATAGAGAGAGAGAGAGATAGAGAGAGATAGAGAGAGATAGAGAGAGAGAAAGAGAAAGATAGAGAGAGATAGAGATTAGAGAGAGATAGAGTAGTTACTACTACTTACTGTCAATTTTAACTTGACATACCTCAGTTTGTTCTGGAAGATTTTATTTAACATATAACACTGTTTCTTTTAACTGAGATTGAGAAATATTGGAAAAATCCCGGTCCCGGTCCCGGTCCCGGCCGGGATGAGGTTAATCCCGGTCCCGGCCGGGTTTTCATTTCGATCCCGGTCCCGGTCCCGGCCGGGATGAAGGTCATCCCGGCCCGGTCCCGGCCGGGACTAAATTTCGATCCCGGTCGACCACTGATAATCACCCTTCACAACATCATCCCCAGTTGAAAACGATTTACACAAGTATTTTGAAAGCTCCTGCTAATACAATCTTTCGTATCACTTATATGTTTTAAATATCCCCCTCCAGGTTGGTTAATATACGTATTCGTTAATACTTACTTGTACTTGATTAGGTCTCCTCAATCATTCGAGTGGCCTGCACCAATGAACTCCCGTTTGTGACGTATCATCTCCCTCCAAAGTTTTCGGTCACTAGCCATCTCGCTCGCTCCTTCTAGGTCTATGTCTGTGTTTCCTGTAAACGCTGCAGCATCTTCCAGCAAACATTTCCTCCAGTTCTTTCTTGGACGGCCCCTAGATCTTCTCCCATGCGCAGGGGTCCAGTTAAGCAGGTACTTAGGAAGCCTAGTGTCTGGCATTCTGGTGACATGGCCAAACCACCGCAGGCGGTTTGCTCCTATGAATGTCTCTACTGGATTTATCTTTGCACGCTCCAGCACTTCAGTGTTTCTAACCCGATCGAGCCATCTTATCCTAAGTATTCTCCTCAAGCAACGCTGATGGAACACCTCAAAGCGATGTAGCTGCTTTTTGGTTGTGTTCCAAACCTCACTACCATATAACAATATTGTCAAAACCGCTGCCTTATAAATCCTGATCTTTGTATAAGACTGGATGTTGCGGTTTTTCCATGTATTACTCAGTTGATTGAAGGCTCCGGAAGCTTTCTGAATCCTAGCTGACAGCTCATGGTCGATACAGGGACGTAGCCAGGATTTTTCTTTGAGGGGGGCTGTCGGCGAGCGAAGCGAGCCGACGCGTCCAATCAAGCTGCGCAGCGAGCGAAGCGAGCAAGCTGTGGCAGGGGTCTGGGGGCGCAGCCCCCAGCGGGGTCTAGGGGCGGCGCCCCTTGGCGGGGGCTAGGGGGGCGCAGCCCCCCGGAAATTTTTTGCGAAACAGGGTGTTTTAGACGACATTTGGCATTAAAGAAATTTGTAGGACAGCAATAAACTGGGATTGAAAAGAATCAAGTACTCACGTAAATTTGGTAACTTAAAGGACCAGTTAACTGAAAAAAAAGTTATCCTCATATTTTGACAGATTGTGACAAATAGCAAACTAAGCAACGAGTCGAAATTCCTAAATCTCTAACTGCTCTCTAACGCGTGTAAATAGCGTTTGTATTATTTTGGCGATGACGTCATAAAGTCCCTCTTGCGCGCAGAGTAGCTCGTGAGACTGTATTTTACAGGTAAAAAATGGACATAATACTATCTTTTCCCCCGAATAACTCGAAAAGTAAGTAATTTAGGGTACATGTTGCTTCATAAGTTGTATATAAACATGGCCATTCTGCACAATTTGCACACATTCAAAAACCTTTAGGACCTTCATAACCCAATTAACCAGATACCCATAGTTTTGCAGGATTTCTGGAACCGAAAATCAGTTTTTCGCCAATAACTGAAAAAGTAAGCACTTTAAGGCATATGTTTGTTCGTAAGTCATATATTAATATGCTAATTGCGGTTCTTTTGCATCCTGTCTGAAGACTCCATCACGATCATATCGAAAATGGGCTTAGCACCACGCCCAAAATGGTTTTTGGCGAATTTATCGAAAAGTAAGGATTTTAGGCCATGTGTTGCTCAATAACTCCTATATAAACATGCATATGCGGCTTCGTTCAAGCCTATTTTGAAGTCTCTACGACCTTCAGAAGCAAGGAGTCGGTTACGTTATTGGGTCAATATGGGCGTGGCCCTCCTGGGTTTTCTCCACTGTCAAAAAGATGTCTCCAAACGAAAATCGTTTAATCATAACTTCGGGAAGGTCTGTGCAAAGTTTCGTGAGTATTAGAACATTTGCAGGTTCATTTCCATAAATGTCCATAAATGACTGGACTACACAACTTTAGAGTTAACTTTAGAGAAACTCATAAGTCATTTATCTCAAATTAAGCTGTTAGTGTCCATGATCAACCTCTGGCGACAATGTTTTACGTGAAATGTAAAAATCAGGAGTAATATAAAAAAGGTATTTTTAGATTAAAGTGCTAGCTCTTAGTTTTAGAATTGTATAGATTAACGTTGGTCATTTAGCCATCTAACAATCGATCGTGCCGTAATATATGGCCAGAGAATAATAGGGTCTTGGAAATTCTATAGTTGTTCAGTGGGTCGATCGACTGAACACGTTTGCACTTGGTATTTAAACTTACCAGTAGTTTATTTATGTTATGCACCGATGATAATGCAATTAGGATAACAACTAGGTAAGCCGGAAGTCTAATTCAAAACACACCTCACACCATATACACCTCCAATCAGTAATTTTACTATTTGGTAGACCGGGTATTTTGGCGGGAATTCTGTTCCCACGGCACTGTTCTGATAGAAGATACTTCTACTAATGGTCCCAGAGGAACGGCCGTAAAGTAGCCAGACTTCTTGTCTCCTGTACTGGCAGACACTTGCAGATTAAAGTTAGAAATTTCGCTATGCTATAAATATAATTGCTCTCGGAATTGAACAAACTCCTACTTATCTGTATCCTTTCTAAATTCGTTAGAGTTTCATGGACTGGGGAAAAATAATCGGTACAGTCTCCCTGCTTGTGTAATTAAGCAATGAAAACAATCCAAAATTATCACATATGACATAAGTTGTAATAGCAGAAACTTTCTAACCGTACATTCACCCGCCACTGTTCAAGAACCTATATCACTGTTTAAAATCATGACGTGAGCACTGTACATCCAATCAGCTATTCCTTTAGTTAGGATGATAGCCAAAACTATAAGGATTTTGGAGAACTAGGGTAATAGTCATAATTCTAAAATTTGAGTGAGTTACACGTGTTTTATTGACGATGATAAACATTTGTAATGTAAATTACGCTATGCAAGCACGCACTGAGGGACTTTATGACGTCACGAGGCCACAGCTTATTATTGCAATAACACGCGTTACACGTACGCTAGAGAGTTGGTTCTTTCGGCGATACGATTCTTTACCAGTTTGTCACAGCTGATTTAAATCTTAGCCAAATTGGAGACTACAAATTTTTCAGTTAACTGGTCCTTTCACAACAGCAATCTGCATTCTCCAATCAGAATTTACGACTTACTCAGGCCTCATCGTCTTAAGATTTTTACATTTCCTACGGTCTAGGGGACACTATTGACTATAATTATAGTCTATAGAAGTCTTCTAGAATGTTTGCTTGGATTTAATGACATATATTTACTAATCCACAGTTCAAATCTTTGACTGACTGCAGTCATAAACACAGCCCAGTTACCAGGCGACCATGGGGACTAATCTTTTTTCTGGGGTTCGATTTTTTCCGGGGGGGGGGCTGCCGCCCCCCTAGCCCCCCCCCCTGGCTACGTGCCTGGGTCGATAGTACCGTCGCTGGAGATAATTGTACCTAAGTACGTAAAATCACTAACTTGCTGCACTGGCGTGTCTTCAACAGTGATGTTCACTGTGGCTTCTTTCGTGTATGGCCGTTGAGAGGTTGCTTTACCAATGACCATAGCCTCAGTCTTTTTTACCATTGAATCTGATACCTCCCTGGGCACCATACATACACAAAAGGTCAGTTGTTTCTTGAAGACCTTCCTCGCTGTTATCCAGTGCAGCCATGTCATCTGCATAGTCTGTATCTAACACAGTGATATCATCAACAAGCGGACTGATAGATCTTTGAAGAACCGCTCCGTGGGACACCACTTTTTTGCTTTCTGTTCTCTCAGCAGCCACATTGAGGCAGACATTAAAAAGTGGGGGATCCTGAATGTCTCCTTGGCCACTGCCTGAACTTACTTCAAACCATTCTCATAGTTCACCATTGTGTCTAACAGCACTGACAGTTCCATTAAAGAATGCCTGTATTATTCGAATGTATTTACATGGCAGGCCATAATGACTGAAAGCTTTCCAAATATAATTCCTGTCGATAGAATCAAAAGCTGCCTTGAAGTCCACAAAATTT